GAAGACTTCGCAGCGGCAGAAACAACGAACATTCCGCTGACCGGCACCGCAGACGCACCAGTAGGTTTCAACTCAGCAGCAGCTCCTCTGCCCATGCCTGGGCCCTCTGACGTTGATGTCTCGGTGAGCACGAACGTTCGGGAGTCCTCGGAAACTGTCGCGGGAGACGCAACGCAGGCTGGAATATCGGGACAGGGAAGCTCGACTAATATCCGAGCCACGCTTCCTAAGGTCAAAATGACACATCCGTAAGCTCCTATGTGTCTCCCCGCGAAATCCTCCCTGCGCCAAAAGCGCACTCAAAGGAGGAGACAGGTAAAGGACGAAAGAAAGATAAAACATGTGTCTTGACTGGCACACCATACAAGAAGGAACTCAAGAAGAGACTCGAAGGAAAAGAAAGTAGACAGGAAAGAAAAATGACGGCAGAAGTCGGTCTAAAGGAAGAAAAAAGAAGAGTGTAGGAACTCAGAAACCGCAGCACAAACAAAACAAGCGTACGCCGCGAAAGCCTACCTTTGAGGAGTCCTCGGACGAAGAAGGTGTAGCTTTTTCGTACTGCGGGTCCTTCTTCTCCATGTCCAAATCGAGCGAGTCTTGGTCGCGATGTGTTCTCGCGATAAATGGGCGCACGATGCCTGTGCAGGGATTGATGAAGAGGACGAGTGGGTGTTCGTGTGCGAACTGTGCCGGGATGACTAGGCAGGTCCCCATCTTGTCTAGTTTCGCCATTGATCGTACCTGCTGACGGGTCCGCTGGGCTGTGCTCTTTTCGTGTTTTGCGTTCACAGTGACTAAGAAGTGGATTGATGAGAAGAACGAGTGAGTGTTCCTGAGCGAACTTTGCTCGATGACTTGTGTGTCTGAGACTCGATCGTTGTCGTCTCATTGTGTAACCACCAGCCTGTGTTCCTCTAGTTCTGTGTCTAAGCCTATACTGCTTCGTTTTGCCCCAAGCCAGGGGCAAAATGAGGAAAAACATTGCCTGATCTTTAGGAGGATCACACTTTAACATGAATGGATATCAAACCAGCGCTTTTATAAGAGATAGACAATTGATCAGCCTTCAATATCCATCTGCTAAAGACTTTCTGGGCAGACTAATGAACTTCCCATATTAAACAAAACCGTTAAGGTGTCCGTCTTGCCCCGCTTTCCCCTATCCGGATTCATCTGATGAGACAGACCCCACCCCCTCTCTTTGAGAGTAAAGGCATGTAGAATTCAGAGCAAGTCCCGTTTGCAGGAGCGTGTGAAAGAATTTGTAATTGGAGGAGGAAGAGGAATCAGCCAAATAAAATCGCTAACAATATAGGTTAGCGGGCCGGGAGCTGGAGATCTATATGCGCGCCTACCTGGAGCAGACATCACATCAGTCAGCCTTACGCATCAGTCTTCAATTCCTTCAAAAAATGAGAAACATCACCAACACATACCGTAAATAACGAAACCAAATACCGCGGAGAGTCTTATTCATAACCCACAATACCAAACAGCCGGCAACCCGACAAGTGCTTTCGACGATTACCGTGCAGCTGCTGCCGAATAACTAGCTTTTTCCGATGCCACGAGCCAGGGATCAAAGTTTTGAATTCTTTAATGCGCCTGCTGCCAAGGGGTGCTGGCGCGGCAAAGTTTGTGTGCTCAAACAAAACACTGCTCATATCCGTGCGCAGTGGTTTAACTGGGCAGCACTGTACCGCATGACGTCACTCATCGGCTGAGGCGGGCGAAATCGGCTCCGGTAGCCCTCTATCGGGCAATATCCGAAGCATTAGGTGAAGGGCTGCGAGGAAGTGGGCAGCATCCGAAAACGTGGATCTCACGCACACTGGACTTTATGAACGCTGGACTTCATGAACACTGGACTTTATGAACACTGGACTTATGATTCTCCTCTGCCCAGGGGTTTTGGACGTTTTCTGGACGTTATGAACGCTGGATGCTGCGATTCTGGACTTTTCACCACCGGACTTTATGAACTTTGAACGTTTCAGTACGCATCCATTTGCAAGCTAAAGATCGGGCAATTTTTAGGTGATATTGATTGCTCTGTCGTTTCAGCCTGCATTTGACCTTGAAGGATGAACCTGAGAGATGGGTACGTTTTGACGGATGCTGTTTCTTGAACATGTGAATATTTTTTAGCTTTCAAGTTTAAAATCGACCAGTAATTTTCTGGTGACATTGAGTTCCCGATCCTTTGAGCCCGCGTTTTACCTTGAAGGATGATCTGAGAAGTCAGGACGTTTTGCTTAGCGCTATCTCTTGAACTTATACATATTTTGAAGTTTTTAAGTTTAAGATCGGCCAGTAACTTTTGGTTGATGCTGCGTTTCCCGTTCTTTGAGCCCGCGTTTGATCTTGATGGATGACCATGAGCGATCAGAACTTTTTGACGGACGCTAGAATTTTTTCTGTGGTGAATAGTTTGATGTTCACAAGTTAAAAATCGACCAGTAATTTTTGGGTGATACTGAGTTCCCGTCCTTGGAGCCCCTTTTGACCTTAAATGATAACCATGAGAGGTCATGACTTATTGACGGACGCTAGGTCTTTCTGTGGTGAGCGTTCTGATGTTTGCTATTTTAAAATCGGCCAGTAATTTTTGGTTGATGTGGAGTTCCCCGTCAATTGAGCTCATCAGGCGCATTTGACCTTGAAGGATGACGTTGAGAGATCAGGTTTTTTGACGGACGCTAGTTCTTTCTGTGGTGAATGTTCTGATGTTTGTAAGTTTGAAATCGACCAGCAATTTTTGGGTGGTATTGAGTTCACCATACTTTAATACCGCGTTTGACCTTAAAGGGTGACCTTGAGAGGTCAGGACTTTTTGACGGACGCTAGCTCTTGCGCTTGTGAATATTTCGATGCTTGCAGTTTTCAAATCGGCCGATAATTTTTGGGTGATATCGAGTTCTCCGTCCTTTGACCCAGCTTTTGACCTCGAAGGCCACGTGATATTGCAAAATGGAGGTCATTTTCAATGTTCTCGTGCCATAACTGACCTTGTCACCGTTTTGCAGAAGAAATCGGAACTCGACGCTGAATAAATCGCTGAATAAATTGCTAACTTCACGGACATCGCAGCCGCCCGGAGCGGCGCTGCCTTAACGGCACGGCGGGCGGAACCATCACCGGCGCTGCCTTGACGGCACCCCCTACGGGCGGGGGGATGCCATCACGAGCGGCGCTGTCTTAACGGCGCCCCCACAGGCGGGCGGAGCCGTCAGGAACGGCGCTACTTTGAAAGGGCAACAAAAAGGACAAACGAAAGGCGCTACCACGAGCGACCAGCGCCGTTCCAAACGCCGCTACCTTGAAGGAGCAGCTCGTCCAAGGGAGCAGATCTTTCGGCGACGCCCGGCGACATGACGGGCGGCCGGTCGGGGCGGTACTGTGATGGATGTAGATGTTGAGGCTCTGCCGGGCCGATCCTCAGCGGCTGGCGGATTTAAGTATGCTGTTCCGAAGCCTCGGCCCGGCTACAGGTGAGTCGCTGGTATGTGATCTGTGCGGCTGCGTCGGCTGGGCAGCCCATGAGCCTCTATATTTCCCACACTATGCGGGCAGTGGTCCATATGTGTACTCGTCCTTCTAACATGGTGCGTGCGCTGTGCATGACGATGAAGAATAACAAGTCGCACATACAAAACGGCGCGCATAGCATTTACCAGCAACAAAGCCTGTCATATTGACGAGGACCCGCAATGAACTCAGGTTTTATCATACCGAAATTTTGTTTCCATCTGACCCGAAAAAGCAAAACAAAAGTTAATGGGAAAAGTGAAGTAAAATAAAAACGTCGGGACGTTGTTCTGAATTCCAGGAGGAACAAAACTTAATCGACTTCAGTTTTCCTTGTACATCGTGAACGAGCCAGTTCACTTTTATGTATGCGAACTTGAAGGTTAGCCCAACTTAAGTTGGGGACGCCCCCTTCCCCACCAGGTCTATAAGTGGTGGGGGGATGGGAAACACCCCTCCACCGTTACACCCCTGTGCGCCGATTGGCCATGACGTGTGCACCGAACGACCCTGACGTGTGTGCCGACTGACCGACCCTGACCTGTGTGCCGACTGGCCCTGACGTGTGTGCCGACTGGACCCTGACCTTGGTGCGCTGGCCGTGACGTGTGTGACCGACTGGCCCTGACGTGTGTGACGACTGACCCTGACCGTGTGTGACGACTGACCCTGACGTGTGCGCCGACTGACCCTGACGTGTGTGCCGACTGGCCCTGACGTGTGTGCCGACCGACCCTGACGTGTGTGCCGACTGGCCATGACGTGTTGCAACGACTGGCCTTGACGTGTGTGCCGACTGGACCCTGACGTGTGTGCCGACCGACCTGACTGTGTGCCGACTGGCCCTGACGTGTGTGCCGACTGGCCATGACGTGTGCACCGACTGGACCCTGACGTGTGTGCCGACTGGCCCTGACGTGTGTGCCGACTGGCCCTGACGTGTGTGCCGACTGGCCCTGACGTGTGTGCCGACTGACCCTGACGTGTGTGCCGACTGACCCTGACGTGTGCCGACTGGCCCTGACGTGTGCACCGACTGACCCTGACGTGTGTGCCGACTGGCCCTGACGTGTGTGCCGACTGGCCCTGACGTGTGCACCGACGACCCTGACGTGTGCACCGACTGACCCTGACGTGTGTGCCGACTGACCCTGACGTGTGTGCCGACTGGCCATGACGTGTGTGCCGACTGGCCCTGACGTGTGTGCCGACTGGCCCTGATGTGTGCGCCGACCGTTGCCGCCCGCCAGCAACGCCGGCGGCCTAACGGGTGGATGCTGCCTGCCACCACAGACAACCGATCATAGGGGCCAGTAATCGGGGCGAGACGACTCGCCTGGAGACAATTGTCCTACCCTTTCCTATTGCGACTAGAGATCGCATGGCCGCGCGGTCGATTTTAGGCACACGCTGCCAGCGGCTGTTCACCACGCTCTTCTTTCAGCGTCCGTACCCCGGCCAACACACATACACACGGCTACCGAAAGATGTGTATTTCCGCGGATTGCTCTAGGCATACATGCAGCGCAGTCGGAGCCGGCTGGCGGCGCGCTGGACCGGCGTCACCTCGGGGGGCCCGTCTGACTAGCGGCCGGGTGGCGGGAGGCGGGCACGCCGCGGCTCGGTCGCTCGCCCTAGCCACCTCAACAGTTCCGTGGCGGAACCGGGCGCAGGACCGGGCCGGCACACAAGCTAACCAGCCAACCACTACTTATAATATTGCATGCCTTACACCTCGAATACGCAGAACCAAACACTTAAAGACGATATAATTTCCCATGTAAAATACTAGATTCTGTATTTCACGCCTGAATGCCGTAGATGCACAAGCAGCTGCCGCCGAATGCACATTAGCCAAGCCCTTCTGCCGCTGCCGCTCGCCAGGCGTGTTGCTCGCAGGTATATATAATGTAAAACGTGTGCATACCCTCTGGCCATCCACTCGCCCAGAACTCTACGTCATGTGCCGGATAGTTAGATACAAAGCGACTCTGTAGGTATATCTTTACATGGCTTAGCTCTTTGGGCGTGACTAAAAGTATTAGATGCCTAGGAATCAAACAGCACAGGCGGTCACCCTCCAAACATAAAGACCGTTCCCGACGGGAGTCGCGGGCACGGAGGAAACAGAGCCAGCCGTCGCAGGCGGGCGCCGTGGTGGCAGTGCTCGCTCGCGAACATAGAGGACACAGACCCGGCCGTCGCAGGCGGGCGCGGTGGTGGCAGTGCTCGCTCGCCCGCACGGAAATGGCCCAGGGGCGCGCGACGCGCTTTTCACACACACACAGACGCGGCCGGACCGAGCACGCACACAGAAGCAAGGGGGCACCGACGACAGCCAGTCCCGAACACGGCCGCGTTTCAGCGCCAGACCGCGCGCGCAGCCGCTACTTCTTCTTCAGGGTGAAGAAGGAGCGTTTCTTCGGCTCTTGCTCCTGCGACGCTGCCGGCAGCGTTTTCGACTTGGAGGGCTCCCCAGTGCCGAGGGTCGCGAACACCTCCTCCACGGCGGACACCCATTGGTGCATCTCGGCGTCGTCGCGCGCCTGGTACAGGTACTCGCCACCGGTCGGCAGCCTGGGGGGGGGGGGGGGGGGGGGGGAGGTCAAAGCGCGTCAGCCCAGCGGACCGCCCGACGGCCGGCCGACCACCTCAGGCAGCCACCACATGCTCACCTCCACGATACTTTCAAGTCAAACGCGGCGCATCACCTGTGATAACAGCCTGGACCACCTGCAATAACGTAGTGTCAAGCATTCAGACACGCTGCTCTGACGTAAGCCACCTGCGGTCCGGATCCGCCCGTCAGCCGCCACCTACTTGAGCCTGAAGACGTGTTTCTTTTTGCTGTAGTCGGCGGCCACCTGGACAGCGGCGTCACGCAGCTCGAGCGGCGCCTCGCCGTGGTGGTACGAGCCCGGCGACGCCTTGGCGGCGCGCGCGTCCTTGTAGGCCAGCAGCTGACCCTCCTTCAGCACCATGAAAAGCTTCTCCCACGACCTGCAACAGAGCATGTGTCACCGGGCGGAACGGAGCGCCGCGCCGTCCCACCGCGCACGTCGACTGGAGACACGCTGTGCGAGATTGCGTGACACACGAACCCTCACGAGCGTCCTCGACTCGACCAAAACAAACAGCGAGTCAAGTGACTTCGTGACGACAGTTTGTCACAACTGGACGCTTCATACAGAAATGGGCCATTTCATCTCGAAGTATCCAACGCACTATGGCGAAGCGGCTGCGTCCGACGGTGTCGCACGACACGGACCGCTCAGAAACGGTCCACCTGGCCGGCACCGGCCCGGCCCCCACTCCCACCTGTTGGACGCCTTCTTGACGGTCGACTCCCACTCGTGCTTCCTGTGCAGGAATCCCTCCAGCAGGGCGCCGTCGCCACCGGGGCTCGGGCGTTCTGTAGGCAGTACCGACCCCGTCAGAGGCGGCCAGCACTCCCAAAGACACACCAGTCACCACGCCGCGCACACCCACACCCACACAGACACGCACCACACAGCTCATAGCCAGACACACCGCTGGGCTGCAGAACCCGCAGAATCCCTTCAGTGCTCATAGATGAATATATGTATGGATAAATATATATATTTATCAGGTATGTTGCTGTCAAAACAGTCCACCGGCAAGACGCCCGACGCATTTTCGCTGCAAACTGATCGCTATTATGCTAAAAAGAGATGACCATATCTGATCTACCATGGCTCCCAAAAACGCTTTATTCAGTGTGAACAACAGCGACACCGACACGGACAAGCCTGCTATTAGCACACAACCGTGCGGACAGGCAAGACGACACAGTAGGAAGGGCAACGTCAGCCCTGCCTTCTAGCGCCCCCACGTGCCACGTGCTGAGGAGCGGGCGGGTGGAAAGGCAGGTGAAACCGGGCTTACCTGCCGCCGCCGCAATGTTACCCTCGTCGTCGCTCACACTGCCCACGGTCTCCGGTGGCGGCTTCGACTTCTTGAAACGGAAACTACGGAACGGCGACTTGGAGCGAGACCTGGACTTCTTCTTCTCCGACGAGGAGCCAGCTGCGGAAAGCAACACTGAAAGCTGAGCACGGAACGCCTCCTGGACGGACAGGCCACGCCCCTCTGCCCCGGCACGGGCCGACAACCCGCCATCGGTGCGGAAACAGACCACGCCTGCTCTGTCCGGAGCGACAGTCGGCGCCAGGACTAGCCACAGCGCCGGCAACACGTCTAGGGCCAACAGGCACGACGCGTCTGGACTTGGCGGAACGGACCACACCCGCTGCGGCCGGCGCCCCACTCGGGGCGCGCCCTGCCCGCTGCGGCAGGCCACCCTCGACGTAGCCCGCGGCGGACGGGACAGACGGCTGGCCGGCCGCCGTGCCAAGCCTGTAGCCCCCTCAAACTGCACGCCGGCCCGACAGCGGCCATGCGCTGCAATTCATCCAGCCACCAGTGGTACAAGCACTGTGCATCTGCCCACCACCGACCTCGAAAAGCCGACCGGTATGTGCACGGATCGCCCTCCACCGAAGCCGAAAAAGCCAACGCGTGCATCTGCCCACCACCGACCTCGAAAAGCCGACCGGTATGTGCACGGATCACCCTCTACCGAAGCCGGAGAAGCCAACGCGTGCATCTGCCCACCACCGACCTCGAAAAGCCGACCGGTATGTGCACGGATCACCCTCCACCGAAGCCGGAGAAGCCAATGTCGCCACCCGAGATTCAGTGACGACGGAGAAATTGCCGGGCGCCAACAGCACCCCTTCCACCAAAGCAGACAGAACCTACAGCCACCACTCGACCAAAGCCACTCGAAAGGCAAACAGCGTTGCACCACCACAGGTCCCAGAAGCCGACCCAGCGCACCTGGACGCTGGCAACACCCCTAGTATCGCAGAGTAGAATACGGAGAAACATGGAGAGAGCAAGGGGAAGCGAGCGAGAGAGAGAGCGAGAGAGCGAGAGAGCGAGAGAGCGAGAGAGCGAGAGAGCGAGAGAGGCGAGAGAGAGAGAGGAGAGAGAGAGAGAGAGAGAGAGAGAGAGAGAGAGAGAGAGAGAGAGAGAGATAGAGAGAGAGAGAGGAGAGAGAGAGAGAGAGAGAGAGAGATAGAGAGAGAGAAGAGAGAAGAGAGAGAGAGAGAGAGAGAGAGAAGAGAGAGGAGAGAGAGAGAGAGAGAGAGAGAGAGAGAGAGAGAGAGGAGATAGGAGAGAGAGAGAGAGAGAGGAGAGAGAGAGAGAGAGAGAGAGATAGAGAGAGAGAGAGAGAGAGAGAGAGAGAGAGAGAGAAGAGAGAAGAGAGAGAGAGAGAGAGAGAGAGAGAGAGAAGAGAGAGAGAGAGAAGAGAGAGAGAGAGAGAGAGAGAGAGAGAAGAGAGAGAGAGAGAGAGAGAGAGAGAGAGGAGAGAGAGAGAGAAGAGAAGAGAGAGAGAGAGAGAGAGAGAGAGAGAGAGAGAGAGAGAGAGAGAGAGAGAGATGCGTGCCGGCGGTTCTACCACGCGGAGCCCTCATAAAACAGAGAACACTAAAGAGAGATGGAAAACAGCTGGCCTGTTGCTGTGTGTATGTGTGCACGTGTGTACGCATGCGCTATATTTTATGCACCATATATATATATATATATATATATATATATATATATATATATATATATATATCCACGAAGGCCGGTATCGGCCGACCATCATACATGTTTCGGTGAAGATAACAGCAAATTGGGCAACTGCTTCCACCTTGCGACGGCTTTCTGGGCGTATGATAATGCCTAACACCATTCGAAAAGTTATGTAGAATTGCACTTATTTCGTTATCGCGTAGCATTTCGGTAATCCATTAACATCACCACACATCCAAAGGAGGCACAATAACACAATATAATACACTCGACGGTGTCTGCGATCGGTACGGAACGCATGTGTACTTTCCAGTGGCCCCAAATATGTTCCTTTTAAATATCAAAAACGCGTGAAGGTAACACAGGTTAAACACGAAGGCACCTCTAAAGAAAGAAAGTGTCATTTCATACATTCAATGTTGCTATGACAACGATGAAGGTTTCCAGTGTGTATGGGAACTAATACAAACAATGGTACACAGGTAGGACATATGTCAATGCCCTTCACAAATTTCATGAGCTTTAATTTCAAAAATCGCACATTACACTTTATTGCGTTGGCGCGAGAGGTTTCGCCAGTCATATACAAACAGGTAATGCGATGTCCATTTACCGATAATGATGGGACATATACCTCCAATATCAACGGCTTCTGAAGTCATAGCTTCTTCTTGCCAGCGCATGTGGCTATGGTGGTGGTGTTAACAACCACGATGTTCCGGGCGGGCCGTGATCCATGCGTACTCTAATGTGTATTTCTGGAGTACATTTTGTAGGTGCATCGTGATGCATGATCATGATCGCCCTCATATCCTGCCCGATGATGTCTAACAACTCAGCACCAAACACGACATCATCGTTTCACTTCATCACCATGCAACTGCAGAATGGTACTTCAGGACACATTGGAGTAACGCATGGATCACGGCTCGTCCGGAACACGATGCTCCTTAACACCACCATCATTGCCAAGTGCACCGACAAGAAAAAACTATGACTTCAGAAGCCGTGTATATTGGAGACTGATATCCCAGCATTACCGGCCGATGGACATGACAGGTACCCTGTATTTATATGACTGGGAAGCCTCTCACACCAAGACAATAAGTGTGAATGTGCGATTTTTGAAATAAAAGCTCATGAAATTTGTAGATGACCTTGATATCTACCCTGCATCTGCAAAATTGTTTGCATCACTACCCATACATACTGCAAACCTTAATCATTGTCATGGCTAACTTGAATGCATGAAATAACACTTCGTTTCTTTACAGGTGCCTTCATATTTTAAAGTGTCTTATCTCCACGCGCTTTCGATGTTTCAAACGAACACGTTGAGGTAATCAGATAAATTACCTGAATTCGGTACCGATCCCACACACCGTCGAACGCATTATGTTGTGTTAGCGTGCCTCTGTTGTGCGTCTGATTACGTTGATGGATTTAAGAAAACGCCACGCGATAACACTGAGCGCGATCACACATAATTTTTCGAATGACGGTAGGAAGATCATATGGAGCCTAGAAAACTGGCACGAAGCAAACAAATGCGCAATACGGTGGCGCCGTCACCGATACTTATATACATCTTATATATATATATATATATATATATATATATATATATATATATATATATATATATTGTAATGTGTGTATGCATGTGTATGTATATATGTATGAATACACTTATGTATGTATGCATATGCATGTATGCATGTATGTACGCATGTATGCGCGTGTGTCGAGGCCGATCCGGAGCACAGGTGGCGTCACAGCGCAGGCGGACGCCAGGGGAGGGGGAGAAAAGGGAGTGAGCGACAATAGAGGATGTTGGGAATCTCATACGTGGCAGGAATGAAGACAGATATATGGCAGAGAGAATAGAGACTGGACAGCCCATAGACATGGCAGAGAGAACAGAGAGCCTGTACAGCCGTCGGGAGAGCGACAGGAGAGGCCGAGGCGGGCTGGCCCCAGCCGCCGCCGAAGCGGCGCAGCAGCTCCGCCATCTGTGCAGCCCAGCGGGCGGCGCGCAGACGGCCGCCCGCGTACTCACTGCGCGAGCCGGAGGGCGCCGCAGCCGGAGCCGGAGTCGGAGCCGAGGCCGGAGCCGGAGCCGGAGCCGCGGCCGCAGTCGGAGCCGGGACGGGGCCAGCGGACGGGGAGGCCACCCGGGGTGCCGGCACGGGCGCCGCTCGCCCGCGATCATGCCCGGCTACAACACAGCACATGCCCTGAGCGTGCAGCATGCCTGACTTCGGCTCGGTGAGAGGCTCGGTGCGCGGGCCGGCGGACGGCGGGCGGCGGTTAGCGGGCCAAAACTGGCGCGCGCGCGCACCACTGCCAACACCGTCACTGCCAGGCGGCAAACAGGGAGAGGAGCAAGACCGTGCGCATGCTTCGGGCTACTCGGCTGTCATTGGCGTTCTTCACGCCGGCGTTCGTCAACAATGGCCACAAAAATCAGACTTACACTGGAAGAATGAGGGGTCACAAACTTATGTTTAAATAAGCCAGTGGCATCCAATGACTAGCTTGACAAAGCATACTTGACAATTGTCAACTGGTGCGAATCCGAATAAAATGCACCAATTACTGTTATAATCTTTCGTGCGGGCACAAAGGCTATCATTGTTTCCATGTCTCGGATTTATAAAATGGAAAACATCGTTAAATGGTCAGTCCGGCACAGGGGCCATACTAATAAGTCGCATTTTTCTCATTCGGTCATTTCTCCCTCGCAATAATACGTGACTTTCTCCTGCGATACGGTGACAGTGTTCCCACCACTTCGTTATCTGACCCAGTAAACGAGCGAGACGCATGTGATTTCCGGCCGCCGCAGTGCTACAGAGCAGCATGCATAGTCACGGGACGGACGGGGCAGCCGCGATGCCAGACTGATCCCTTCGAGCATGCCCTGGCACGACGCGACCGTCGACGGGGGCCAGTTCAGGGGGAGCGGGCAAGTACGACCGATCGCGCGCCGCCGCCACCGGCAGACAGCCGCCAGAGGGCAGCGCCCGCCTCTCCCAGCCGGCTCAGCAGGGCGTCCAGACGCTGCTGCCAGCCGTCTACTGCCCTGACACCGCCAGCGCGGCGACGCCCGAGCTACCCGAGTGCACTGCTCGTCTTTGCTGGCGCCGGCAACGGTCCAATGAGGTGACGCCTCGGCGACGTGACAGTAAGGTGATGGCCGGCATGGGAGCGGCGGTGGCGGTGGTGGCGGCGGCGCGGACTCGGGGGCAGGGCAGGGCGCGCGGCCCGCGGCCGGCCCGCTACCTTGGATGGGCGCCACGTCCGGGCGGAAGCGGCCGGGCCGGGCCGCCGGCGGCGCCGCTGGCCGGCCCGGGCAGAACAAGCCGGTTAGTGTCGCGCACACGCACACACACACACACGTTGGGGCACAACCATCAGCCGACGGTGCGCAGTTGCAAGCGGTCACAGCCAGGCTGGTCATGGTGCCGCTGAGTGGAGCGGAGCGGGGCTCGGGCGGGACCGGGCTGACCTACCTTCCTGCTGCTGGGCGCGGCCGGCCCGCTCAGCACGCTCCTCGGGCGAGCGGGCGGCGGCGCCGGCGGCGACGGCCGCAGCGCCGGCGGCCGCCACCGGGGCGCCGGCGGCCGCCTGGCCGGGCGGCGCGTCCGTGGCGTCCGACGGCGTCTCGTCCGGACTGGAGGCTGAGCGCCGCGCCGCCTCAGCTCGCGCTGCCTCGTCGGCCGCTCGGCGCGCCGCCTCCTCTTCCTGGCGCCGGTGCAGCTCCTTCAACTCGAACTGGAAAGTCCCCGGGATGGGCGCCGGGCGTCACAAAGCTGACCGGCCGCTGAAGCCGAACACAGCCGCCACACTACAGCACCGATACCCTTGCCGCAAGTCTTCAGCACTGCTGGCGGCTGACACCGGTGATACGCCTCCCGCAACTGTCATGTATGATCCGAACCAATCACCTTAATCACATTTTCGTTGGATCGAATACGATGTTCCGTCCGTGACGGGTCTCACCGTAGTCAGTCGCTCCAGAGCCGCAAAGCGCTCCTCCTGGGCCGAGGCAGACTTCTCGAAAGCCTCGTGTTTCTTGATCAGGTTTTCGACTTCATCGATGGAATGCTGAGGGAGCACAAAACTCATCACATGCACAATCTCGCAGCACGGGGTGATGTGGTAGAGGTCAGGCGGGTGGGGACCGGGCGGATGTGACCGGCCGGTCCCGAGCGGTCGGCCGCGTCGACATCCGTAGTCCCTCAGGGCAGAAACTGACCCAGGTGGTGGTGGCTGACGCGAGTGGAGAGGGCGGAGCACAGGGAGCAAGCCTGCGCCATGCTACGGCAGATGGATACATTGATAGATTACATTTAAAGATCCTCCATAATATGGTTTTTGCGACGTCCACTGTCACATAAATTGGACACGAAAGTAAAAAACACCTAAAACAACGCAACGCATTCATCTTCACCGTATGTAAGCGACTAGCCTGTCCTTGCTGACCATGGACACACCCGGAGAAAAGCTCTCTACGTAATATGAGGCAGGTTTCACGGAATGCTTCCATGAGCGAATGCAAGCTGCATGACTGAAATGTGTCAGCACCGCACTACGACTTAACACTATGCAACTTCCTACTAAAATCCAAGCTCCAACAATGCTGACCGTCATGACATTTTGAATGCTCTTAAAAACACTAAAACACCCTGTGAAAGGCGCTGACGGACCCCGACGATCCGGATGCGGAGCTGGGGCAGGCCGGGCGGCGGCAGCTCCACTCACCCCCAGCTCCTTGCTCTGGATGTAGCTTTCCTGGGCGATGAGCCACTGCTCGGCCACCGCGGCGTCGCGCGCGAACTGGTACACCTCCAGGATCAGCTGCAGGTACTCCCAGCGCTCCTCCCACTTCTGGTGCATGTCGCCGCGCTGCGACGTCAGCTGCACCAGCTTCTCCTTAATCTGTGGCGGGAGCGGCGGGAGCGCCTGTGAGATCGACAGTGGCCGCCGCGCGGATGGGGGACGGGCCGCGGCGCTCGGGTGAGCTCCGCACCTCACAACAGCACGCGCCTTTACACTGACTGGGTGAGGCTTGACAAGCGGCGCACGGCCATCGACCGCCTGAGCTTTCACGTGCGACACGCCAGCGATGGTGCAGACCGGAGGCGGCCCTCCGCCGGACGGCAGGTCAACTGCCGGTGACCCGAGGCCGCGGCGGGGGCTGACCGCGAGGCCGCTCACCTCTTGGGAGGCGTAGTGGCTGCGCGACAGCAGCTCCTTGCCGAGCGACAGGCAGGCCGAGAAGTTGTCCTCCCGCGTGTCAATCTCCGCCTTCAGGCTCTGGTGGTTGTTCATCAGCAGCTCCACGCCGCTCACGTCCCTGACGGAGGCAGCGAGTCGACTCCATCCTCACTTGCCAGGGTCGGCACCGCCCCACTGGCCCCACTGACCCCACCGGCGAGGCTAACCACCCTGTCTGCCGTCTGCCGAGGACGTCACAGAACCGGAGCCTCGGCGCACACTCGACAGGCGCCTGGACCCGCGCGCAGCGGCGAGACTGCCGTTCACAGGCCCGCCGGACGCGGCCCTGCTATGGATACACACTGCGAACAGCTGACCGAATCCCACGCATGACTGTGGATGGCACGGTCACCAGCTGACGCCAACAGTCAAACGGCTGACCATACGCACAGGAGACATGAGGCTGCCATCTTCACGCACGCACGCACGCACGCACGCACGCACGCACGCACGCACCCACACCCACACACACCTGGGCTTTTCGGTGGTGTTCATCTGCCGGTTGACGTCGTCCATCCAGAGCATGAGGATACGGCACATGTTGAAGAACTTGAAGAGGTCGCCGGTGTCGGCCAGCTTGGCCTTGCGGGCGTCGCAGAGGGCCTGCAGGTTGAGCCAGGCGTTGACCACCTCGGCCTCGCGGTTGGTGATCTCCTTGGCCTTGTCGCCGGCGTAGGCGGCCTGCAGTTTCATGCTGTCCTCCTGAATCTGACGCACCTGGGCAAACAAGGACAGACAGAGTCGGGCATCGCTCACACGCAAACGCACACGCTTATTCTAAATACCTTAATTGCTTCCGATATGAGCTACCTATCATTCTAAACACCTGTTCTGATATGAGACACATATCATTCTAAATGATGCACAGGCCAACAACCAGCAATATACATCAGGACTGTTTTTTATGTTTGACTGACTATATGTTTTGGAGCCTTTCCATGTCGTGAAAAACATGCCGTTTTCCCCATACCAAGCCCCAAGGCCACCTCACGGACAAACTATCACCAGAAGAGGGACCCATATGGTGGTCCCAAAGCTTGTAGCGAAAACCGCGTCTTTCTCATAAAATCACATGAAAAAAACAAAAACCTTGCAACTTTATGTGCTTTACTCATGACTAAAACACTGCATAAGACAATTAACTGGGACATGGGTGAAATAAGCTTAGACACGAAAGCCGAGGGCATCACAAGATCTATAAACGAACGTTAGCCACAATCTCTCAAAAGTATGTCGAGGGTTAGCACATCGCGGTATGTGTTGTGCAAATATAACCGGCCCGGCAGAATGCCGACAGCCAGCCCGGCAGAACGGAAGCCTCGCGAGCCCTGGATGCGCTGCTCAGGCAGGGTGGCCGGCCGGCCTACCTGCTGCTGCAGGTTCTGCAGGTCCGACAGGAAGTTCTGATGCTTGCGCTGCAGGGTCGACACGGACACGGCATCGCGGCCCAGCTCGTCCGACATGGCCGTCTGCTTCTCCATGATCCGGTTCAGCGTGTCCTTGCAGTCGTGGAAGAACTTGTGCAGCTCCCAGGACGCCGCCAGCATCTGAATCAGCCCGGCACGCCGCATGAGCAGGGCACGACACACAAGAGCCCAGCTCCGGCAGCCGGTGTTCAGATTCGCGCCAGTCCAGGGAGCGGGAGAGGACGGGCGGCGCAGGCGCCACACAGCCACTGACAGACGTCGCGGACGTCAGTATAATGGGCCCCACGCTGCGCTGCTTACGAAAGTGGCAGCTTGGAAACGCTGACTCGTATTCCGGGAGTGTCACGTTGCCTCGATCTCTTTGATCACGCTTTCTTACATCACTCTACGCTCCAGGAGAGCTTACGCTCTCTTACGCTGCCTTGATCTCTTTGACTACTCTTTCTTATATCACTCTACGCTCTAGGAGAGCTTACGCTCTCTCACGCTATCACTAGTTTAGCAGTCCGGCGCCAGTGGTCGCCGGTCCTATCAGACCCGTTCGCTCACCTGTGTTCGGGTCTCAATGAGCTCGAGCAGGTCGGCCCAGGAGTCGTTCAGGCCGTCCTTCCACTCGGCGATGGTGGCGGCGTCCGAGTGGCCGGCGCCGATCAGACCGTCGGCCAGCTCGTTGACGGCCGACACGCGATCCGTGCCAACGGTCTCCGTCTCGTGCGCGAAGGTCTTGAAGCGCTCCTGCAGCATCTGTAGGTCGCCAGCAGGCGCGATATGAGAGGGCGGCTCGCCATCGACGAAGACACGCCGAGCCGGCTCAAAGTTACGTTCCACAGGCGCGCTAAACCATCGAACAGCAGCACGCGTGGCACGCTTCGTGCCCACAACGACCCAAACGACCCCAAGCAGTACAAGCGAAGTAAAAATACTACGAGGAGCGGCACGTCCGGGCGTCAGTTAGGCCGTGACGTCGGGCCCGGCCTGGCCGGTGGTGCCGGGGTCACTTACGCAGACGTGGTCGTAGTCCTGTCCCAGCTCGTGCGAGCCGGCCACCACCTCGCGCTCGGCGATCCACTGCTCGAGGTCGTCCACCTCGCGGTTGAGCTGGAACAGCTGGAGCGCCTCGTCCAGCCGGCCGCGCCGCTCCGACGCCAGGTCCTTGAGGCCGGCGTACAGCTTGTCCACCTGCGCCTGGCGCACGGCGATCTGCTGGCTGCTCGGCGGAGAGGGTGGGTGCGGCTGTCACAGACCGCTCCCATAGGTCCCACAACAGCCGACGCCGACGCCGCCGCCATCTCGGCCCTCTGGCCCGTCGGCACAGGCTCAGTCAGGCAGCACACAGAACATGTCATGATATGGGTAAAGTACTGCTAAAATGCAGACCGATGTACTCAATATGAACACAATCAACTTGGTATACAAAGAGGCGAGCGAGAACAAGCACGCGGCACCGCGCTGGGCGCGGCGCTCGCCTGCGGCCGTACCTCGACCGGCCGGGCGGTGCCCTCTTCGGTGGATGGCTGCCGAACAGTCCAGCAACGCCACTCACCTGTCCGGGTGGTCCTCGGCGATCAGCTGTTTGGCCGTTTCGGCCAGCTGGCGCACCGTCTCGGCGTAGTCCTCCACGGCGTTTTCCAGGGACTCGTGCTTCTTCATAAGGTTCTGCGCCGAGAATTCGTCCTTGCCGCGGTCGTCCACCATCATGTACAGCTCCTGCGTAACGCGGCGACAGTGAGACACTCGTCCCGGCGCTGCAGAGCACGCACAGAAAGCCACAGCACGGACGGCCGGCCGGCTCAGACACGCGGCACATCCCGCAGGTGTTGAGAGCTATGCGACAACCCGATCTCACTTGAGACTGAACTCGTCGCTCAGTGTACGGACGGTGCAGCTGACCTGCGCCCCAGTGCTGGCTGCTGTCGGTCGCCATCGACTAGTAGGCCGCACTACCGCGGTTGGCGAGTTCTGACCGACCGCCGCCGTCCTCGGTCAAATGCGGTGGCTGCTGGCTCACCTGCTCTGACATCCAGGCCTCGGCCTCATTGGCGTCGAACAGGTACTGCTGGGCACGCTCCGAGACGGCCAGCTTGTTCTTGCGCGCCTCCATGGCGTCTCGCAGCTGCTGCCACTGGCTATGCAGCTCGTCCATCAGCTGCGCAAACTCGGCCGAGTCCTCGTGACCCTCCGCAATCAGATTTTCACCGTTCTTACAAACCTGGCGCGGGTGGACGGTATCAGTGGAGGCCGAGGGTCAAATGCATCATGCAGGCCAAATGGCGTCAATACATGACGCACGCAAGGGGGGCAATAAACCGAACATTCACTCAGTTATCACCGCGGCTGTAACCCGCAAGGCAGACAATTTATGCCATTTGAGAGCACAGCAAAGGTAGACATCTGCGGACACGAAAATGTGAATGTTTAGCTCTTCTCGGGCGTGTACGCGGCGCGGATAACGGTGTCGGTGACGGTGGCGGTGTCACCAACCAGCGACGAGCGGACACATAGTGCGCACACTCAGGGCAGCGGCCAGTGACCGGAGGGGGCGGACACTCAGGGCAGCGGCCAGTGACGGCCCAGGGCCGACACTCACGGTAGCGGCCAGTGACGGCCCAGGACGGACACTCACGGCAGCGGGCAGTGACCGAACGGGACAGGCACTCACGGCGTTGATGCGCGGCTCGTGGTTGGAGATCTCGTTCTGCAGGCTCTGGTTCCGTCGGGTCAGCATGTGCACGCTGACCAGCGAGTTGCCGTACTCGGGTGACGTGGCCTGCGGCATCTTCTCGGCGATCCACAGCTTCTCGTCCTCGATGTCGCGGCGGAACTGCAGCGCGTCCTTCTTCTTGGTCAGCTTGAGCTGGCGGTCCAGCAGCGGCGTCTTGAGGCTCTCGAAGCGCTGTTGTACGCGCACCTTCTTCTCCTTGACCTCGTCGGCCTTCTCAGGCGCCATCCGCTCCAGGTGCTCGGCCTGGCTGTGCAGCTCCGTCACCTGGCGGAGAGGGGCGCGGCCATCACCCGGCCGCCAGCTGACCGACCAGCCGGCCACGCGGCTTTCCGTCATCACGCCAGGACACCCAGGACACCTTAACGAACCCCAGCACGCCAACCCAGTCGGAGAGTCTCAATGCACGACACGGCCGCAACCTCTGCAAGTGTAGCCTATGCTTTGATCACAGCTTACAATTTATTGAGCATGAGTGTTCAACAACCTCGGTAAATCACCCCTGCTCCCTGCATGATTAAGATTTCTCGCGATATAATCATATAACAGCATATTACAACCAGCCGGGTCTGGCCGGTGCGCTGCCATCGCCTCCGTCCATCCCGTCGCTGGCGTCCACGCACCTGTTTGGCCTTGACGGCCATCTGTGTCTCGATCATCTGCTGCTTCTGCATCAGTATGTTGAGGCTGGCCAGGTCGCTGGTGTCGTCGCCGTGCATGATCTGCGTCTCGAGCTCGTCCACCCAGCCGTCGATATCGTCGCAAGTCTGCTCGTACAGCACGGCGCGGTTGGCGTCGAACAGTCGCTCGCCCTTCTGCTTGGTCACCGTCTCCAGCTGGTCGAAGTGGTCCTCGAGCTCGGAGATCTTGGGCCGGACCAGCTCCTGCATCTCGGGCTTCTCCTTGATCAGCTCCTCGCCCGACTCCTGGATGCGATACAGACTGGCGGACGGAAGCGCCCAGTCAGGTCACGGTCAAGGTCATGGTGCCGACCGGGTCATCAGCAGTGATATCACCAGCGCCGCCACCAGTGACGTCACCACCGGCCGGCTGGGGTACAGCACCGGCTACAGGCACGAACGCTACCAAACGACTATGCATTCATTTCAACTCACACCAGCGATTGCTCACCACAGCATGAATGGAAACTGATTTCAAAACACACGCATCTAATGTTAATACAAGTACACCTACCGCCGTTAAAACATATGCACTTACACAAAAGCACGAATTAGGAAGGTCGATATTCCACAAGCAACACATATCTGGGTCGCGCCCAGTCTGGACGAGAAGCCGACTAGCGAGCACGAGTCGACGTCAGTGCCAGCGGGGGCCGGAGCTCACCGGTCCTTGTTGCTGGCGATCTCGGCCTCGAAGGCCTGATGGCGCGTCCACTTGCTGTGTACCGTCTTGGCCGAGCGGTAGCTGTCGTCCTGGGCGCTGATGGACTTCTCCTGGATCCATTCGCCCAGCTCCTCGCAGTCTTGCAGGAACTGGTGCAGCTGCAGCTGGTCACGCAGCCGCTCCATCTCCAGCATAGCGCGCTCCCTGCGGCGCGGCAGGAGTCAGACCAGCAGGCCCGCAGCCTCCACCGCAGACCGGCACGCGGCGTCCACCGCAGACCATAACACGGCGTTCACCAGACCGTCGCGTGGTGTCCACCGGACCAGCACACGGCGTCCACCACGGACCATAACACGGCGTAGGACTTCAGGCCCGCGCCATCCGGTCACCATCGCAATACGCCGTACAAACGGGCGGCGTACCAGCTAGTATTGTAATGCACTTCACAAAATTGAATGTCCAAGCAAATCACTTCAACGCAAGCCACGAAAGCGCGTTTACGCAAAATGTAACATCCCCCGAAGGTAAATTGTGCTTCACTTCATTAACCAGGCAGCTGGTTGGGGACAGGCGACAGAGCCTATACGGAGGTCACACGGCCTGGCGGTAGGCTGACCTATTGTTCTCGCGGCGCTCCGCAATATTCTCGGCCTTCTTCTGGATCTTTTCGGCGGCGTAGTGGCCCTCCTCGGCCAGACGCTTGGCGAACTGCAGGATGCCATTCAGCTTCTCGTCGTTGGCCTCCATGGTGGTGAGGAACGCCTCGAACCGCTTGATCTGCTCCTCCGCCTGCTCCAGGTTAGCCTGCCGGAGAGCAGCGCACCTCAGACGCAATGCCGCGACAAACTGCGACCTAAAGACGCTGAACGGACGAGCCATCCGCGGCAAGAAACAGAGCTCCGCACCGAGCCGTGTCGGCAGCACGCGGTCTCCAGTGATCCCCGTGCATCGGTGCCATATTCCCCGATGCCCGCGGACTGGTGGTGTCGGCCCAGCGGGCTACTCGCCCAGGCGCACGGCGACACCCACCGGCGTGTCGACCTTGGAGAGGAAGTTCTCCTGCTGGCTGAGCGCCACCTCGCCCATCTTCGCGTCGCGCAGGAACATCTGGTAGTTGAGGCTCTGCGACAGCAGCTGCTGCCGGTTCTCCCACATCTTGTGCAGCTCCTCCCAGCTGTGGACGACGGCGCAGCGTCAGCCACGCCGGCATCAAGCCGCACCAATGATCACAGACAACCCGCCTTCCTCCGCTGACTCCAACAGGCACTTTCGACAGACACCAACAACAGCGGCAGAACGCATGCCATTACAAGCACGCACGCCTCTTATCCCCCTTCCCCCCCCCCCCCCCCCTCACGAACCTTCAAATCTAACCAGACCCATCCGTACATTCCAACAATGATTTGCCAATGACAACAAAGGTAAACAAGTCATCGTTCCCCGAATGGCAGCTGGCATCTGGTCTTGATCACGCCAGGGATCTGCGGCCCGGCGGGACCTGGCGGGACGCGGCACGCACGGCACGTACCCGTCCTTGAGCGCCTTCAGTCGCTCGCGCAGGAACATGTACTGCGGGTCGTCGGGCGGCGTCACGTCCTCGGCCGTCACCCGCTCGCCGTACTCCATCATCGAGTTGTAGTCGTCGTTGTAGTTGTCGATCTCCTCCCTGATGGTCTGGTGCTCTGGCGGCGACAGGCGACGCGTCACCAGCGGGCCGGCCGCTGCGCCCCGTCACGCTCGTCTCGACGGCAAACCTGACGTCTGTACACAACGCACATGAAGCCGAATGCTGCCACTCTTATATTTTCCAGTCGCACCTCATCTGCTACTTCACGCTGAAAGTTGAAAGCTCAGAGAAACGAAAAACTCAAAACGAGCGCTGGCCGTGACCTCTAAGACAAAACTCTAAAAAAAACAAAAAAAACTTAAGTTGAAAACACAGCTCAGAGCAGTCAAAGCAAGCGGCTCCCGGATGACGCCCCGGCGGCGGGCCGAGCGGCGCCCGTCCACTCACGGCTCAGCAGGCGCTCAGCCTCGGGCAGCGACTGCGGGATGTCCTCCGAAGCCACGTCCGTCTGAGTCTTTGTGAGCCAGGCCGAGAAGTGGTCCAGGTCGCGCAGGAAGCGGTGCAGGTCGCCGGCCTCCTCCAGCTTGGAGTAGCGCTCCTTCAGCAGCTCCGTCATCTCCTTCCATGGCTGCCGACCCGACACGCGGCGTCAAGACGTGCACCAATCCGAGCAACGCCGCGTCTAAAACAGTAACTGGCAAGGAGCCCGCGAACCCGGCCCAATCCGACAACCGACACAGCCCACTCACACCGCAATGTCCTCCCCCCGAGCACTGTCATTGCCACGCACCAACACCTACAACTACCTATAACTGCGCTGTCAGCAGGCAGACCGCAGCGTCTCGGAGCCTGTCGGGGGTCACAGCGGCGGTGGCGGCGGTCCGCCAGCCGGCGGAGCGCGTCCGTACCTCCTGCAGCTGGCTGATGTTGCGCCTGATCTCGGCCGCCTCGTCCGGCCGCTCTTGCTCGATGCGCTGCGCCTCCCGCTCCAGGTCGTCCAGCTTGGCCTGGATGGCTGCGATGTCACGCTCCATGCCGTTCAGCTTGCGCTGCAGCGTCATGATGCCAGCCTGCCCGGCACAGAGTCGGGGTCAGCCACCAGCAGCCAGCGCATCCGGGGGCAGAGCCACCAGCGCGGGGGCGAGCACGGGCCGGCGAACACACGCACTTCAAGGTGCCGCTCACAAATGAAACACGCGCGGGTCTCGCAACAATCCACTAGTGTGCACTTTATACGGCAACTTCTTACGCGATCGACGCCGGCCTTGAAAACAAAGTGGATACAACAAATGTTCGTCGTATCCTACATGAACCGCGCACACGGACACAACGAACATAGGGAGGGCGTGTGGAGGCTGGCGCGCAAGGCTGCCATCTCCTGACCGAGGCCAGGGCTCGCCCGGCTCAGCACGCACCAGGTCCGAGCCGAGCCCCTCGGTCTGGTGCAGCAGCTTGGTCTTCTCCTCGATCCAGCTGACTGTCTCGCGGATCTCGATGTGGAACGTCTGGTAGGAGTGCGCGCTCTCCAGCTCCTCCTTCTTCTGTTCGGCCTTCTCACGCAGCGTCGACCACTTGTCATTAAGCTGCGGACACGTATGGTGGGGCGGTCAGAGGCGCATCGCCGGCCGGTGGTGCACTGACACGACGCGTCCCGGTGGCCACGACCCGCACACGGCTCGCGCTGAGGCTTCCGAGCCAACCGTCACAACCCACGCCCATCACGAGCCCACGGACAGTCGAGACCACCACGACCACACCGGCCAGCTGAGCCGCTGACGTGAAACGAACTGCAGTGTAGCGGCACTGTCAGAACTAGATCTAACCTTGCGCTGTCCAGCACACAGCGCTCAAAGCCGGGTTTCGTCGACTGGACGGCTGGACCCACGGTCCGCCGTCGCCCGTCCGTCGGGCCGGCGTTAGGCCGCGGACTGAGGGGCGTCGCCGATCTCACCTCGCTCTGCTTGGCCACGATCTCCTCGCTGTTGGGGTGCTCCACCTGCAGCAGCTGCTTGGCCAGCTGGTTCACCACGCCCACGCGGCTGGCGTTGGCGTTCATCTCGTTGTCGAAGCCCTCGTACTGGTGCTTGAGGATCTCCACGTCTTCCACGTCCTTGCCCTCTCCCGGCACCATGGTGTTGAGCATGCGCTCCTGCCGCGGGGGGGGGGGGGGCAGCGGTCAACCGGAGCCAGACCCGAGGGCACACACTGCTCCACAACACACACTACTGGCTTCTGGTCATTGGACTCAGATTCATTGATTCATTCAGATCTGATTCACATCAGATTCATTGTGCACTGGATTCAGATCCACCTTTGATTCACTTCGAATTTGTTTGGATGATCAATGTACTGTTTTGACAACATTTGCAGCCGGAAATATCAATATCCATCAGCAAGGAATACGGCCAATAGTAATGATTTCGTGAACACATTAAGTTGGAGAGATCTGATACACACATATAACAAGATCGATACGTCTCTGCAGAGACATACATATACCAAATCGCTATAGCCCCAGAGATTTTCGTGAGTAGCCCTTCAGGCCTCAGCTGCCTGGGACACGCTGGCACCGCGTTACCTTCTCGGTGATCCACTGGTCGACGCGCTGTGCCTCAGAGAACAGCTTGTACAGTGACATGGCGTCCAGCAGGCGCTGCTTACGCAGCTGTCCCAGCTCGTTCAGCTCGCGGTACCTGGCGGCAAGGGGCACAACCACTGCTGCTTTTCCACAGCATAGGCGCCGGCACCACAACGATTGGTGGTCGCGGAAAACTCAGTGCATAGCTGTAAGGCCTCCTTCCAGAGGATGACAACTTCTACTCATGGCGATCTACAGACGAACATAGTGTGTTTGGCTAGGTGTCGGCTGCTGGCCCCTCGCCGATGGCTACGACTCAGTGCGCGCGGGTACCTGTTGTCGATGCTGTCGACGCGGTCCTTGACCTCGGGGTTTTCGCGGTACTCGGGGCCGATCTCCTGAGACTGGCCACGCAGCTGCTCGATCGTCTGCTGGTAGTTCTTCATGTCGTCGTCCACGTCCTTGTGCTTCTTCAGCAGGTTCTGCACGCCGCCCTCGTCGCCGCCCACGTCGTCCGAGGACACCAGGCGCAGCGTGTCCAGCATCCAGGTGTCGACGTCGTCCGCGTCGGCGAAGAACTGGTGGTAGCCGATGGCCTGCTCCAGCTGCTGGCGGCGGCGCTCGGCCCGCTCCTTCAGCCGGTTCCACATGTCGACGATCTCGTCGATGCGGCCGCGAATGCGGTCGGCGCCGAAGTGTCCCTGGTTGACCAGCTCGTCGCCCACCTGGGTGATGGCCAGCAGCTGCGACTCGTGCGCCGCCAGGTCGTCCTCCAGCGCCTGCCGGTCGCCATAGCCGCCGGTCAGTGGGTCCCAGGCTCGGCCCGGTCGGCATACACCCGCACACCGCGTCCCGGCTGCCTGTCAGCTCTGACCGCCGCCTCTTCAGCCCAACTCCACACCGGCGGGAGGGCGCATCAGCGCCGCCCCGCTGCTGCAAGCCCAGCTGGAGCTGCGGTGTCAGCTCAGCTGCTGCCGTCCTGTGACCAGGCGCAACCCGCTGGGGTTCGGTGATCAACGGCCACGTGCTCACCTTGTGTTTGGCGAGCAGGATGTGAACGGTGACGAGGTCGTTGCCGATGTGGGCGGCGTTGAGGATGTTCTCCTTCTCGCGGATGTAGTTCTCCTCCTCGGCCATGTCCCAGTAGAACTGCCACAGCTGGCGCGACTCCTCCAGCCGCGAGCGACGCTCCAGCGCCAGCTTCACCAGCTCGGCGTACGCGTCCTGGCCGGCCGCCCGCCCCGTCAGTGGCCGCACCGGCGCCGCGTCCAGTGCACGCATCCCACGACCGTGCGGCACCCGTCCACGCGCGAGCGTAAGGTGCGTCACACGCAGGCGCTCGCGTCACCGGACTCACACAGTCGCGACAGCTCGTCACGTCACCCACTCGGAATCACACAGCCACGATCATGTCTTCGAAGGAAAACCCAACGCAACGTTCGATAGCTGACACATCGATACTTTTACTGCCCGGATGCGTGGGAACAAAACTGACATCGACTGAGGGCCTCAACGCAAATGACAAGCAACGGTCGTAAAACATTATTCGTAGAACAGCGACAGTACCAGACGATTTGCTGGCGTCGTCACCACTCGTGAATAATTACAATGGATGATGTTTCACAGAGCAAGCGAGAAGGCATCTGACAGTTCGGAGTGGTCCGCACTGATGCCACGACAGTCAACACACAGCCTCTGTAGCCGCCGAATGACCGTAACCAGTCATTGCATTAAGAAGGCCAACACCCGAGCCAACCCGGCCGGAGTGCGCTGGGGCCGGGGCGCCGCCGTACCTCCAGCTGCTGGACGCGCTCCACCACGATGGCAGGGTCGCAAGGCCGGTAGCCCTCCTCCGTCTCCTCGTCCACGAAGCGGCGCGAGTGCTGCACCACCGTCTTGACGCGCTCACCCAGCACGTTGATGTCGGCCTGCCGGCGCAGCCAACGGACGGGTCAGAGGGCGACGCGGAGTCGCGCCGCACCACCCGGCCACCGCACGCCGAGCGAGCAGTCTGATCACTAGCGTACATACAGGCGCCATGACGAGCAGCGAGATGGAGCCAGATCGAAATCCAGATTTGTGTCACTAGACGTGCAATTTGTATCGTTCACACCGCTAACCAGTCTTGTACCAGATGACGGTATTGACATTCTTCATCGCTCGGCGAAAGGAAGCACTCGGATGGAGAGACGCTTCATCAGAGGGCCGTGCCGGAGTGGCGTCTACCGCAACCAACGGCTGGTGAGCGGCGATAGGGGACGGTGGGCTGCCGGCGCTGCTCGCCGGCCGCGCCCCACCTCGATCAGCGCGTGCTTGGAGAGCAGGTCCTCCACGCCCATCAGGTGTTTGCCGTAGTCGTCGGAGAGCAGCCGCATCTTGTGTTCCTCCATGCTGTCCAGGATGTAGAGCATCTCCTGGAAGTTCTGCTGCAGCTGCAGGCTCAGCTCCAGGCGCATGCGTCGGGCGCGCAGCAGCTCCAGCAGGTAGTTCCACAGGCGCAGCACATTGTCCTTCCTGCCGACGCGGCCAGACCCAGTCTCAGACTCCGAGTACCGGGCTGACACGCCTGTATACCGAGACAAGGGCGAACCCGGACTGATACCGGGCTGACACGTCTGTACACCGGGACACGAACCACCCCGCTGCCGGAAGTCAACAGGGCGAACTCGACTCCGGCTCCGGAGCCGACAGTCACACCATGAACCCCAGCATCGCAGACTAACGCCCGAGAGGAGGACAGGACGGGCACATGGCAGCACATGTGCCAGCCGGTAGCTGGAGCCCCAGCCGTGAGGCGCTGTTCAGCATAATACGGCGCGCGAACCGGCCGTACCTGGCGTTGATACGCTCGATGTCGTGGTAGTTCTCCGTCTGCAGCTCCTCGGCCACGGCCACCACGGCGAGCACGCGCTCCTCGTACGCCAGAATGTCGGTTTCGATAGCCTCGTGCTTCTTGGCGGACGCCTCCACGGCCGTCAGGTCGAAGCCGAAGTTGTCCTGCCGCAGACAGCATCGTGTCAAAACAGCGGCGCCCAGCGCTGCCTTACACCACCAGTCGCTCGTCCCACCAGAAATCGCGCCACGATAGCGCTGCCGTGCGCCCACCAGCCGCTAGCACCACCACAAATCGCGCCACGATAGAGCTGCTGTGCGCCCACCAGCATCGCTGGTACTATCACCAACCGCGCCGCGCCAGCGCTGCCGTGCGCCCACCAGCGTCGCTGGTACTATCACCAACCGCGCCGCGCCAGCGCTGAGTCGTCTGCTGAATACATCGCAGTCCGGTGAAAATAATACGCCATCGAACATTGCTTTAAAACAAATGCCACCAAGCGCACCAACCACCATGCTCTGTCCCAGGCCAGTGCAATACTACTTTAACATATCGCATCACCCTTAGCACAATGTCGCAACTAAGCAATAATCTCGGACCGTGGCACCCGTGAATAACAGGCTGGTCAACAGAGAACGCTGCTTAGTGCGTCCCGGTCTGCTCCGGGGCGAGGCGGGGCGGGCGCACGGACCTGTGAAACGAGACGCTGGTTCTCCGACAGCCAGGTCTCGCGCATGCCGGCCTTGCGGTCGAAGCGGGCGGCCAGCTGCTCCAGCTTCTCCTGGCGGATCAGCTCCTCGCGCAGCGCCAGCTCGCGCTCGTGCTCGGCCTTCTCCAGCCTGCGCACGGCGGCCGTCAGACGGGCGGCACGGCGGGGTACGAACGCGACAGCGCCAACAGGGTCAGGCCGCGGTCACAGCCAGGACGGCTCGCACATATCAGTCCACCGCGGATTATGGGGAAACTGACAGAGATTAGCAGATTAGGGGGAAAAGCGGTCACACCGCCTATGCTGTGCACATCGTCGAGGAAACATTAGGTGACGAGAATAGACGGCCCGGCTATTATGGCAAACTCTTAACTCCATTGAGCTCGCGAGTCGATCTACGACTGGAAATGTATGCCGAGAATGTTTGCACCGTGTAGTCCCCTGCACACTTCAGCGGACGTATCCCGTCGGCGTCGAAAGACTTACTTCTCCCATGCCCGGTTGATGTCGGCGATCATGAGCCCCTCGCGCGGCGTGTATGGCCGCTGGTTGTTGGCGCGCATCTTCGATTTGAGGGTGAACAACAGCACCTCCAGGTTGCCCTTCTCCACGAACCTGGACGGGGCACACGGAGGCGGGCGTCACCAGCGGGCCAGCCAACCCCGGCCGGTCCAGTCCACCAGTTCACACACGACGCACCCCACAGGGCTGAGTCACCACGCCGCGAGAGGACGCAAACAGCGTTAGGGATGAGCACCATCACTGCGTGAGAGCGCCAGCCCAGATGAGTGCGGCAGCTCGCGGCCCGCCCGACGCAGCCGGGCCGGCCCGGGCCGGGTCGCACAACTTACTTGGGCGGTTTCTCGACGGTGCGGTACGAGTTGAACTGGACGAGCTGCTCCTGCACGCCGCGCAGCGAGTTGGCGAACTGGCGCTGGCCCAGCTGCTCGATGGTCTCCCGGATCCAGCGCAGCAGCTCCGACGTCAGGCTCTCGTACTCGTGCACCATGTGGTCGTTGTCCATCAGCGTGCCGACCACCTTGCCGATACGCTTGGACTGGATCGTTTCGGCGCGCATCTTGGAGAAGTAGTGGTAGTAGGTGACCACGTAGGTGATGATGGACTTCTCGTCCGGCTGCTCCATGCACACGTCTGCGGGAATCCCATATTGGTCACAGCGACATACGAAAAGTAGGAGGGTCGAAAGAAAAACAACGGGTAGAGTGAACAGGAGCGGCTACATCAGCCACCCATCCCAAAAACACGTACATTGATCAACGTCGTTGCATCAAGGTAACAGCGTCACATACCAAGACCTCTACCATTTTAAGTATCGCCACCCTGGTGGGGACCAGCAGCAGTGTACGTTTCCTCTGGGGGAGACCGGACTCACACCCATCAACACTGGCACCACCCATCATCTGACGGCTGACTGCCGCCGCTGCCGAAGGTGGCAGCCAAGGCGGCTCGTCGTGGCCGGCGCACTCACCCTCCGCGTCGAGCAGCTTGGTCAGGCCCAGCTGCGACTCCGCCACGTTGAAGGCGTTGTTCAGGTTGTGCATCGGGTTGGCCTTGCTCAGCTTCTCGTACTGTATCAGGTCGGCACGGTGCTTGTGGATCAGTGCGTTGAAGGCGAGGCCGTCGCGCCAGGAGGTGGTGAAGTTGCGGATGTTGACGTTGTGGTAGCCAGCCGTCTTCATCTGGCACCAGAGCAGCAGCGCGTCCTTGGCCGAGCGCGTCTCCTTCGAGTCCGTCTCCTCGATCGTGATGTCTTGGATCTGGCGGCCGGCCAAAGGCGTTAACACGCGAGCAGCTTGCCTTTTCATGCGCACGACGTTTAGCATCATACAAATGGCTGCACACTGCGCGTAACACACTAAACACTGCACCGCAGCTGAACAACACAGGCGGACTCCCGCTCCTCCACTCAGGCGTATGCTCCGCGGGCACTACGGGAGGAAGGGGAGGCGGCTCGGCTTCCACCCCCACGGCTGCGCCGCTGCTGGGAGGAAGGGGAGGCGGTTCGGCTCGGCTTCCAACCCCCACAGCGCGGCTGCGTGCTGTGGGAGGGGGAGGGTCGGCCAACCCCACAGCGCGTGCGTGGAGGGGAGCGGTCGGTCCAACCCCCACAGCGCGCTGCTGTGGGGGGAGGGGGAGGCGGCTCGGGCCTGCTCAACCCCCAAGCGCCGCTGCTGTGGGAGGGGAGGCTGGCTCACCCCCCGCGCCGGCTGCTGTGGTAAGGTGGGAGGCGGTTCGGCTTCAACCCCCACAGCGCGGCTGCTGTGGGAGGAAGGGGACGGCGGTTCGGCCTTCCAATCCCCCACCAGCGCGGGCTGCTGTGGGAGGGGGAGGCGGTTCGGCGTTCTAACCCCCACAGCGCGGCTGTCGGCCGATGGAGCGCACCTGGAATCGTAGGATGATGGTCCAGATGAGGCCGAGTGTGAGACGCGGGTTCCGTCAGGCCACTCACGTCGTGGGCGCCCAGGGTTTTCCAGGTGGACGCGCTGCTCGCGCAGGAACTGCAGCGCCTTCTCCACGTTCTCCAGGCAGTGGATCCGCATCTTGCCCTTGGTGGGGCGGGGGCTGCAGAAGGGAAACGACCAATGTGAGGAGTCGGTCCCGCGCAACAGACGCAAGCCGACTTGCCCAGTTGCCCTTGCAAGCCCACACTTCTACTCTGCTGCACAAAGGGCGAAAGCGGGCAGAGAAAATACGGCTCAGGAGCAACAAGATATTGAAACTTTCCGCGTAATTTGTAAATGAAAGGCCCACAACAAATTGGGATATTCAGGCCCCCAAGACACTACTAGAGTAAATGACGCACCGTTGTTTTTATTGCAATAATCCACCGGTTCAGACATACACTTCTCGTGAGCGCCAGACAAACAAGTGGTGAGAAAGTGACCAAAAACACAGGCAGAAGGACGATAAACAATAGCAAAGTGACGGCAAAACAGTGATCAAGTGGCGACAAATACTGTTACCGTCAGCATTCATAAGACAGCGGAAATCCAGCACATTTGTAAGCAACATGTATACATACGGCTTGCGTGACCATGGTGATGGGCGTTGAAAAGCTTAAAATACATTCTACACCAAAGTACAAGTAATTACCAATGCCATAACAGACATCTTTCGGAGACAAAACAACAGTGTGTTACGCATCTCTGTCCAATGAGCGAGCCAACAGACCGCAGCGTTGACCAGGACGGCGGAGCCTGGAATTTTCCTGCGACGATTCCATGCCCGCTCGGGAGAGCCCTCCCAGCAGAACAGGCCAGGCAAAACCTCGCCGGTCCACTGCCAGTCCGGGAGCTGTTGCATGCCAGGCAAACGCCGACACGACTACTAATCATGTGGTGATGTGGAAGGCAGGGAGGTGCTAATCTGCGTGAAGACCGCACGCTCGCGCCGGTTCAGAACACGCCGCCGGTTCCCGTGCCGAGCCAGTGACGTCACCGGCCAATCGGGGCGGCGGCGGCTCTATTTCGGGGCCTTTGCGGGCCGGGGCGCGGCCAGGGCCGGACGCGGCCGGCGCGAGACGCGGCGCGCCGGCGACGCGGCCCTACTCACCAGCCGCTCGCCCGACAGCACCTCCAGCAGCTTGAGCAGGTAGCGGCCATCCCTCAGGTCGGTGTACAGGTCGGCCGTTCGACACTGCACGCGCACCAGGTGCGAGTTCACCCACTTGGTGAACGTCTTCTTCTGCACATTCTCTCGTTCACCTGAAACAGACCCAGTAACGCTCAGCGTTGGCTGCTTACATGGATCGCGATATGGTGTGTCCACGGAGGCACGCAACATCACAACAAAAACAAACGCCATTTTTCCCGGTCCGATTTTGAAATCAACCAACCACAACGTGGCGAATCGAAGGCTCGGCGCCGCCTCGCGTCTGCCGTCCGAATTCCGGCGGCGGCAGACAACTTCCGACCATCGATCGGCTCAGTTGACGGCCGCCGTCGCAAGGCCGCGCCCCCGCCGGCCCGGGCGCGGCAGACGCCAGCGGGCGGGCGGGGCGACGGCGGCGGCGACAGCGCTGGCCGAACACCCGACTCGACAGCAGCCAACCAGGGCGCCGCCGGAGCCCCGCCGCCGCATCGCAGTCGATCGGGTTCGCGCGCTCGGAGGAAGGCGCGCTGTCACCACGCCCGCACTCGTGGCGAGGCTGCCAGCGCGCGCCGCGCGCCGCAGCCCGGCGCACGACCTTGTACCCAGACTTGCCACACTGCACGCACCTCGACGGCTGCCGACGATTCGGTCGTAGATGTTGTTTACGTCGTCCACGTCCCACATGTCCGCGGGCCATCGGGCGGACACGGCGGACACGGCGGACACAGCGGACACGGGGGACCCAGCGCGCCACAGCGGCGGCGGCCGCTCTCACGTCGGACTGAGCGATAGGCGACGGCGCCGGCTTAGACTCCCTGATACCGACTAGGCAAACAGACGACTGGCGGCGCGGAGCCGGCACCAGTGACGGCGCCGGCACAGTGTCGGGCCCAGTCGCAGTGTGGCACAGACAGCGGGACACCGCCCGCGCGGCCACACCGCACAGTCCACCTGAGGCTTCAGGCCGGCGGCGCGGCCCCGCCCCGCCAGACGGCTCGGTCCGGCTTTCCGGAGCGTGCCGCCCGCAGGCCACCGGAGACAGAGCGAGCGCACCACGCCAGCGAGCCCCGCAGCCGGTCCGGTCCGGACGGAGTCTGTCCCCCACCCCGCACCAGCTCAGCAGGCTGGCGACGCCTCGTCGCCGACCGTCTCCTGTTTCGGATATTGGCTGCGATCTTTGCATGCAAACTATCATTTTGCTGCTGCAGCTCACTCCCAGCACCAGACAGACAGCGGAGAGCGGCCGAGGGGGGAGGGGGGGGGGGGCAGCCGGAAAGCGTTGTTCGGTTCCGTTCTGCGGCAAGCACACAGGATGATCGCGCCCCCAGCCCAGCCAGAACACAGAAGCCGGCCGACAGGGCCAATGTGCCCAGCCCCAGGCGAGGACCCGGCGGGACCCGGCGGAACCCAACGGGACCCGGCAGGACCCGGCGGGACTCGGTGGGACCCGGCGAGCCCGACCCGCAGCCACAGCCGACAGAGGAGCACAACGGTACGGACCCGGCACTGCTGACGCACAACACCACTATGGTGGGCGGCGGGAGCAGTACCGGCCGGGCTCTAGAACATTACCAACGCAGAGTCATCGATGGCTGTAAACATGTGGTTTTAGTGCACGTGGTGGCAGCTGTAACCATATAGGATAAGAGTGGGGCCGCCACATGAGTGGCTTATTTTCTCATCTTATCGTGCTGTTTTACTGCCGTATCAGCAGCCAGTGGGCGCCGGCGGACGTGACCGCTGGACAGGTGACGCCGCTCGCCCGGCCCGCCAGGCCGAGGTCCGCGCGCACGGAGCCGGTCACGGCCGTCCAGCCGCCCGAGTGAGCCGCCGCTGCGCGCGTCACCGCTGCCATCTGATGCATTTCCCTCAGCACTCATTCAATCGCCCTCCGCAGTCGGCGCGTCATTCAATTACGACGCTGAGCCCCCGCGCCAGGCGAGCCATCTGCTGAGGAGGCCACGCTCTGGCCGCACCCAGTCACCAGCCGTGGGCTGCGGCTGGTGACAGCGCAGGCGGCGCTCTGCGCTCTGCAAAACCGCCAGCTCGGGCGCCGCCACGACAAACAATCCTATCGCACTATATCTAGCCTTTGCTCGACCCGCGAACGCCGGCGACTGGGCCATTATCAGGCATGGCTGCAATGACGTCCGCGGTCAGACTGGCACTCTCAGGGGGTACCAGAGATTGTCGAAGCCGCCCCTCACGAGTGGCCGGCCGCCCGTCCGCGGCCCGCAGACAGTGCACCGGACTAGAAGCTGGTAGAACGAAGTTCGTAATGTCATAATAATGATAAAGATCTACTGGATGCTCAAGTATGGGGTAGAACATAACTTAGCACATTTGGCAGCCTGTAACAGAACGTAGCGTGACCCTAACGGTACAGTAGTGAATTCGAGTTGACGGGGAGGTTATATCCCAAAGTTGCGCGCAAAGCTGTCAAGGAAATAAAACACTTCAAAACATTTACATCAGGTACCGGCCCGTGGCAAGAAATTCATCACATTCCATGCGGAACTGGTACAGAAGTTTTGGGCCGGCCCAGGCTCGAACGCACGTTCTCGCGTCCATGGACCAGGCATGGTACTGACGGCGCCGCCGAGATCGAAAGGCACGCGTCGAAGGTCGGCAAGTACATACCGTGTCGTGCATGAAAACCTTCACCCGACACGTTGAAGAAGTCTGACTTCTCTAGGCAATACAGAAACGGTCAAAAGATCGGCGCTTAGTAATGAAATAATCTTCGGTTGGTGCCGAGTTCATCGATGCCAACACAGAATTTGACGTGTAACTCTCCGAAATGCATGCCTTGAACACATGAATCACATGGGCTGGTCCACAGATTACGCCGTAGAGCGGTTGTGCAACTGCCGCATTGCAGTGGGGTCGTAAGGCCCAACCCAGGAGTCCGGTAGGGGCCCGGGACGCAGCACTGGCCCCTATTCGGTACACGTAAGGCAGCAGCGCTCTGCAGTCGCCAAGCCTTTCGGCGTCGCCGTTATCATGGCTGCCGCTAACCAGATAGGGCGGGCAGCGCGCTGCGATACGGGCGCCGGTGACCGCGCGGACTCGCGCCCAGCGGCCCGAGCGGGGCCGCTCGCCAGCTCGGCCTCTCACCAGCCAGCCGCTTGTTGACCGCAGCGCGCGCGCCCAGCCACCGGCCGCGTTCGATCGGCCACGGCCGCCAGCGGCGCTGACGTCACACGGCTGGTCTGAGCTGAACGCCGTCCGCGCCGAGCGGCGGCGGTGGCGGCAGAGGCGGAGGCGGCGTCTGATGTCACACCGGGCGGCGGAGGCAGCGTCTGACGTCACCTCCCCACCTAAGCCGTTCCTGGCAGACGTCGCCGCGCGCAGCCGACCGAGATCGCCGCCGTTGTCTTGCCACCGGGTCCGCGAACGGCGGGGACGTCACGCATTTCATGCAGTCCGCGCTGTGTCCAACAAACAGCGCACAGCACAACAAACGTCAGCGGGAGGTAAGTCTTCTAATTCGGATAAGTTGCCCGCGGCATCGCGATGGTGCAGCAGAACGCACACGGCTCTGACACAGCATCTCCAACAGAGCGGTCACAGCCTTCGAGCCGTGTCGCAGCACCGGGTCGGAAGGTGGTCGCTGAACGCCGCGGTTACCTGCGAGCGCCTTGATGCGGGAGCGCTCGAAGAGGCGGGAGGACGAGTTGCCCCCGTCGTACTCCATCTCGTCGCCCATGTCCTGGTTGGTGACCGGATCCCATCGCGGCACGCCGATGTCCGTCGTCATGGTGACCGAGTCGCCGCCGTTGGGACCGCCTCAGCACGTCTGCAACAGCCAGATTGGTGCCGTTTCAGGACAAGCGTCCTGGGCTAACACCACCGCGGCGCACCACTGCGGACCAGCGCCTTCAGCCCACGCCACCAGCCGCAAACGTGTGCCGGAGATTACCAGCTCCGCACAGTGCTGCGCCTCAAAACCAGGACGCGCTCACACCTGGCAGTGCGTCCCCCTCTCAGCCCCTGCCACACCCTGGACCGCGTCATCAACGCAAACAGGCCGGCGGCGGGCGCCGCGCGCCGCCCACACGCTGGCACGGACCAGCGCTGCGGCTCAGTCCGCGCACCCGCCAGGCAGCTGGCGGGGGCGCGCGGCTGCCCGCGAGGCGCCGCCACATCACCCCACAACGCGCCCCGAGCCCCGGCCGCACGCCCGCACCGATCAGGCTGGGATGGCACGCGCCCGTCTGAAGCACCTGACTTGAATGACTGCTGTGTACTGCTGCCCCCCCTTCCCCCCCCCCCCCTCCCCGTGGTCTATTGCCGAGCCGAGCGGCGGAATGCAAGTAAAATGGTCGCCGGCCAATAACAGCCTGCAGGGAGCCCATTTGGCAGATATCCAACGTTCTGTCACCTGCATCCCGCGCTCGAGTCAAGGCAATGGTTTGTGGTTTCATGCGGTTTCATGCGGTTGCAATGGAAAGCTTGACCAGTCCAACCGCAGCTGATGCGGGTCACGCGATGTTCCGCAGCTCCTCCGCTAGATCGCCGTTCTATGGCAAATGGCCGAGCCAGGCGGATATCCCAGCGCAGCTGTACAGGCAAACACCCCATGAGAACTGATGCCACGGTAATAACGGTAATCCTTCAGCGTCGAAACTTAACAACCGTAGGCAACGGTCACCGCCAATGTCGGTTGCACTGGCACCCTACACGCAAGTGATCGGGTCGCATCAGAGCATCATACGCATATCGAGTCGTGTCAACCTGACTCCGTATCATCGCACAGGCCGAGGAGAAATCAAGTCATTATGCGAGCGGGAGGAAGGTGAAGGGCATTTGTCCATGGCGTAACGATGGCAGCACAGGAACACACCACCCATGGCTTCGCCAACTGTCCCCACATGGGGCGCTGTCGCGAGCGGCTAAACCCAGGACCGTACCCGTTCGCCAGGGCCGGAAACCCAGGCAGCGTGCGTTTGGTATCATACGTGGCACCCCGCATCAGACAGGAAGCTCTAAACCACTGATATGACTACATGAATATCTCCTGCCCTGCACGGGGTTTGCCTGACGTTGGATGCTCCTGGTAATTCCCCGCATTTATTCGTGTTTTCGCATACCGTCCGCTATTTCATCGTCAGCGAGGAACGCTGTAACTCGCTCTACTCAGGCCTTAATTTGAAAACTTCTCGACGCTCGCTTACGTGGAGGAGCAATCTGGGTCATCGATCCCAGGATGACGGTCGCCAAATGAAAGGCATGGGAGCGTCCGCAAACAGCGACACTGAATACCGAGCCCAGCGCAGCGTCCGCTCGGTCCACATCCCGCCCCTGGTGAGACCCCGGAGGCCGTGTACGGCGTGGAGACAGGCGCCACACAGCTGTACGGACCAGGTGCTGCCCGTCGTCGCCAGGTGCTGCACTGTTCAGGTGTATCGGCTGTCCGCCAGCAGGGCGTCGGGCCGTACCACGCGCCGCGGGGCCGCTGAGTGCGTCTGCCAGCCCTCTCTGACACAGCTCGCCTTCCGCTCCTCTGGAGGCTCACGCGCTCCGTTCAGTGCTGGAGCGTCCGACTTTGGGATGGCACGGAGGGGTGCCCCGAACTGTGCTTTCTGTGAGTGTGTGATTGGGGCTTTACGACGCACTCAGCTGCTGAGGCTATATGGCGTCGCCTGCCTCTCACCCTGTCAGGAAGGGCGGGCACCGCAGGGAATAACTGTGCTTTCTTATGCACTTTCTATGTACACCCTTACTTTGCCAAAATTATACCATAACCACTCTCTGACCCCCACCCCGTTACACACACATATGCACACAGCCCTACATCCCCGATCTCGAGGCATGGGATGTCTTCATTGTGGTAACGAATGTATCGGCTGTTCCATACGAAGTGCATTTTTATCACACAAATTAATGTGATCATTGTTACGTACAGACAGGACACACGACTTTGCTCCAATCACTCCGAATTAGTTAAAAATATATCTAAAAAACCAACGTAATTTACGTGATTGAAGGACGCTGCCTGATCGGCCTTACGTCACTCGCCAGATCCCACGAGGTCAGGGATACTCTTACCCGGCAGATCCCACAAGCCAGGGATACTCTTACCCGCCAGATCCCACCAGCCCGAGGATACTCTTACCCGCCAGATCCCACAAGCCAAGGGGATACTCTTACCCGCCAGATCCCACACGGCCCGAGGATACTCTTACCCGGCAGATCCACCAGCCCCGAGGATTACCTCTTACCCGCCAGATCCCACCAGCCCGAGGATTACTCTTACCCGCCAGATACCACAAGCCAGGGATACTCTTACACCGCCAACATCCCACCCACGCCGAGGATTACTCTTTACCCGCCAGGATCCCACCCGGCCAAGGTATCCTCTTACCCCGCCAGATTCCCACCAGCCCGAGGATGCTCTTTACCCGCCAGATCCCACCACGCCGAGGATACTTCTTACCGGCAGATCCCACCAGCCCGAGGATTACTCTTACCCGCCAGATCTCACCAGGCCGGAGACACTCTAGCCCGCAAGATCTCACCAGGCCGGAGACACTCTAGCCCGCAAGATTCTACCATGATCCCGGGATACTCTTACCCGCCAGACCCCAACCAGGCCGAGGATACTCTTACCCGCCAGATCTCACCAGGCCGGAGGTACTCTAACCCGCCAGATCTCACCAGGCCGGGATACTCTTACCTGCCAAATCCCACCAGGTCTAAGACAATCCTACCAGACAGACCCCACCAGGCCGGGGATATTCTTAAACCCCATATTTTGCGTGATACCACAGAAAAACGCCTCAGAACATTCAGAACGCTGTCCTCATTCGAACCCCACCACACTAATTGTAATGTTTTAGTAATGTCGGTTTTGTTATTTGGGTGGTTTGGTTACTTGGGTCAGTTTGATACCTTTGGTCGTTCTGTCTTCTTGCAGAATTATCTTCAAATTTTTGTTTCAGTGCACGAAGTTTGAAACCATTATAAAAAGCAGTCAGTCAGTTTTTTAACGGAAATATCCTGCTCTGAAAGTCGAACGCCTAATGCATATTGTTTTCACATTGCACTGCAATATTCCGACGTACTCGCGGCGTGCAGTCTGAACTCACGACAGGGTTTACTCTCTTGTTTCGAAATCTTTGAGAGTTCTCGTCCAAACTTCAATCCAAAATCTCCAGACTGGACCAGCCGTTTGCACAAAAAGTATCCAAAAAACCGTGTTGACTAAAAACTTTCAAGTTTATTTATATAAATCTCCATATATATATATATATATATATATATATATATATATATATATATATATATATATATATATATAACACATAATAAGCAATACCTTAACCAATAACCCGGTCGCACTCGCGTCGCTTTACTCCCTCACTGGAATAACACGAAAGAGAGAAAACGATTGCAGGTAAGAAATGTGTATCACAGGCTTTCGTGAAAACATCACAGTTCGCATTTCACATCGGTGTTCGCTAAGATTTCCTGTCACTGAGATTGTCGACGGTAACTCAGCCGGACGGTCCTTTCTATCGATGCCCTTGATGAAAGAAACCTTCTATATCATATTAAAAAACATTGGTTTTTAAGTAGGTTCTATCAACAACTCGTTCTGTCCCAGAATAAAACCATATTAAAAACAAGCCGCCTCACATTAGTTGGCATACATACCAATTTACAACGCGACAGAATGTTATCCCCTGTCCCAAAATTCCAAAGATGTTTGCTCCTGATGTTCCAATTTCCAGCCCGGACTTTGGAAATTTGTAAAATTTCAAAAAAATTGCAATCTAATTGGCAGCTCTGGTTACCACCAGGTACGTGCCAATATTCCCAGAACCACCGAGGATCAGATGCCCTAAGATCTGCATCCATGATCTTTGGAATCCTAAGCACTAAAAAAATTCAAGGATCTTCCAGGATCTTGTATCCTTTTTCTAAACTTAATGGACGGATCTTTTTATTTCCTGAATGCTTCTGAAATCGTGTGAGAAGGTCTGGTAGCTTGGAATTTCTTAAATTTTGTCAAGGACTGCTACGAAAGATTGGATCTTTCCTGCCAAAAGATTATCTCGGATCCGGGATTCTGCTGTCACTTCAGTAAAATGATATTCCAGGTTTCAATTTGCGCAGCAGTGCAGAGACTTAATGGGAAATACAGATGTTACTGCTGTCATAACGCCGAGGTACTGTAGGAGTTACCTACAGGTGCGGTTCATGATGAGTACGCATTCCCTGACCGTCAACACGTGATCAACTTTTGTGTCTTTGTCACCCACACCGGGGACAAACTGAGATGGACTTGGTGATATTTGACACCGCGGACAAATTGAAATGGACCCAGTGATCTTTGTCGAATTTGACCTTGCACCAGGGTATGCGTTAGTATCAATGATAAAAAGATAGAACAAATCACTCTTTTCACCAAACTTGACATTGGAGTGGGCGAAAACCAGAGAGAACAAAAATGGGAAGTGGAAGTGCTCTTGGCAAGTAGTTTTTCGTTCTACCCTTCACACCAACACACCCACTTTGAAACCACCTGCACACCCACTTCAGCATCTAAATTATGTTTTCTTTGCAGTCATTCTAGATTCGTTATAAATTGGTTCCATTTAAATAAGTAACAGGTTTCTGCCCACACATTTTTCCAAAAAGGCTACGGCCGCCCCAGGTGGGTACAAAATCCCACTCCCCGACGTCTTCCCATTCTCTCTCAAGCGGACATGTCACCGGACTTAGAGGGTAGATCCAGAATCCCATGGGATTCGATGTTAATGGGAACATGAGATCTCGGGGATCCAGGCACAT